ATAAATGAATACTATTGCAGGAAGATTGCCTTTGGAGTGGCCGAGGTCTTCACAGTTAAGGTCTGGACCTGCCACCTCTCCACATCCTTTGCTCTTCTAGCATAGTGAGAAGCTTCATAAATGTTTTTGGTTGATGGCAAAGCTATTGAGTTTCAGTTGTCAAATCTGATTATTCTCTCAAAGGAATGGGGGAAAGGCACAAATAATCCAAAATAATTGACTCCATAAATACCTTTGATTTTGAAGTATACTGTGATAATGTTATGGTAAATTCGCCTTGGTATTTTTTATTCATGGTTCCTGAGCATGAATTAGCTAACTCAGGAATCTGCCCTCTCACTAAGGAAGCTGCAAGTGTCCCTAGAAGATCCTTCCAATAGGAAGTTCCTTCTCTCCCTGCCCCCTTTGAGCATGTGACAGAAGCTCTGCCAATCAAATGCTCTCTCCCAGCACTTTGACATTTGATCAAAAAGGAGAGGAGGGGTATGACCTTTGGTCTCAGTGGACTAAGAATGGAGCTCTAAAGACTAAGTGTAGCTTTAAATGGACTAAGAATGGGTCTCAGTGGACTAAGAATGGGGGCTTTAAAGACCAAAGGGAATTTACTGTCCATATAGAAAACTCAAAAAGGGACCCACTAGGATTCAATTCCCTCATTAAATTACTCATTTACAAACATTTATTGAGCATGCACTGTGTACCAGACACTGTACTAGATGTTTGCATGTACTCATTTCATTTAACAGATGAAGAGAGATTTAAAAACTCATAAGAAACTTGCTCAAGATCCCACAGCAGGCTACAATTCAAATCCCTGAGTCCTGACTAATTCTAGTGCTTTATCTACTATTCCGTAGTTTACTCCAAGGTTTGCCCACACGTAATTTTAGGGGTAAAATGAAAGAAAAAAAATAGATTATTTCTAAACAGCTGGGATTGACTTAAAAAGTAGAATTAACTTTATTTCAACTAAGTGAGTATTACAGCTTATGCATCATCCCTGAGAACACATCTCTAGTAGGGGTGGAGACTGGAAGGGAAATTTCTCAGGAGATAATGGGTGGAACCACACACATACATACACACACACCACACCACACCACACACACACACACCCCAGCACAAACAAAACAGAATTCTCCCTGGATCAGAGGGGATGAACCTCAAACAGCCAATAGACAGCTGATGGTTGAGGTGTTTGGAATGCATAAGGTCAACAGTCAGCCACTTGGCTACAAGTGAAAGAAATTCAACTCTACTAGCTTAGACAACTACAGAAAAAGCCTCAAGGGCAATGGCAACTAAGACTGGCTCTCCTTCTCCTCTTCCTTCTTCCGTAGGTGCATCTCTCGATAAGTCAACCACTCCCTCTCAGACAAGTTCCTACAAGTGAATAGAAGAATAGCTGTTGGCAGTTTTCAGACCACACCTCCCAGCTACCCCACCCAAGAACTTTACTCCTTCCTCTAGTGCCAATTCAAACATCCTGGTGCAGGACTGGGAAGGAGGGTTGCTAGGGAGGGAAGAGTGGCTGCAGCCGGTGGCGATGATTATCTAGAAGAAATGCAGAGATAGGAGCCTGCAGTGAAAACATTAAATGTCCTCCACGTGGAGTTATAGTTCTAATTGGCCTCTCTGGTTATAATTACATCATTGTCTCCATAAATTCAGGAAAGATGTGGATGAAACAGGAGGTTAATGAGCTCAACTGTATCCCACATCTGCATTAACAACATCATTATTTTCATTTATGGGTATATTCTGTTGATTAGTTTTTATGCCTATTAGCTTTTAATGGACTGTGACACATGAAAATTTGAGTGTGCTGATCATCTCTGATAACCATCCTAGATTTTTCTGTAGATTTTCTTTCTTCATTGATTCTTCTTTCTCATTTCAGAATTGATTAAATATGTTATACACAAGTAGATAGATTCAAACCAATGTTCATTTACAAAAGAATTCATTAGAGCCCTGTATTTGCATTTCTCCCCTCACTTAGCATAGAAAAAAAAGAGGGGCCCTAGACCAGAATGGGGGTGTGGGCTGGATTAACTCCTTGTCTTATCACTATCACCCAGTGACCTTGGGGAGGTCCTTTAGCCATTTAAGTTTCCATTTCACTCTCCCTGAAAAGGTTAATATGACCTACGCAGGGATATTGGGAGGAGTAGAGATAACAGATGCTTAGCACAAGGTATGGGAGGTTTAACAAATAGTGCTTATTGATTTTCACCAAAGCCATTCTCCTACAATGCCCTGAGCACTATTTATCCCAGGTTGGGAGGACTCAGCAGTGCCCACTCCACACTCACTCACCTGCCCAAGGTACACAGAAAGTGATCAATCACCAGAGGGATCTTCCCTGTCTGAGCCCAAACTGCCCTGCACGGTTCACGGTCCATTTGATGTCCCTATTGCACTGCCACAGGACACATCCTGTATTGTTAATTCAGACTATTAACTCCCACACTGTTCAGTGTTTTGCCATCAGTGGCCAAACTGACCTCATTTCCTGCCGAGTTAACCTCATTTCCGTTTTTTGATAGGGTTACTAAACCAAATGAGTCCCGAGAATACTGCAGACACAGTATATCTGGATTCTGCAAGGGGGATGATAAGGTCTGTGGTGCCTCTGTGGCTAGCATGGCCAAAAGAGGGGGAGACAGTATAGACAGCGAGACTCATAGCTCACCAGCAGCAGCCCTTTGATCAGACCAGGAGAAGCTGTGGATTGTGGGAAGTAGGTAGGTGCAGAGAGGTTAACCTGGGAAGAAAAGCTAATGTGGTCATGGAAGAGATCCTCCAAGATCTAGAGTAGGAAGCCATTCACTCATTCACATAGCAATATTTTTTTAAATAAAAGTATAGTTGATTTCCAGTGTTCTGTTAATTTCTGGTATACAGCATAGTGATTCAGTTATACATATATATTCTTTTCCATATTCTTTTCCACTTAGATTATTATAAGGTATTGAGTATAGTTCCTGTGCTATACAGTAGAACCTTGTTGTTTATCTGTTTTATATATAGTAGTCTGTATCTACACAGCAAATATTTATTGAGTGCCCATGCAGGGCACTATATAAGGCTCTGGGATAGAATAGAACCAAACAGACGTGACTCCTGCCTTTTTTGAGCTTACAGTCTAGTGGTGGGGAGAGAGACAGTAACACATAAATCATCTGAAAATTTCTAAAACTGATGTGATACAAAGAAAATACCATGACTTGGGGCAAGAGAAAGTACTCCCTTAGGTATGACCATCCGGGGATCTAGAGAATGAGTAGCCAGCTGTGTGAACTTCTGGGGCCAGAGCAAGCTAGGCAGAGGGAACAGCAAATGAAAAGGCCCTAAAAAGAGAATGTGCTTGGTATATTAAGGTCTAAAAAGAAAAGCAGGTCCAGGGAGCAGAAGTGAAATGAGAGAAGGCGAGAGAGGCAAGGAGAGGAACTTCTAGTGAAGAGCCTCCCAGATGATGGACTCCATGGGGGTTTCACACAGTGCCAGCTGCAGCCCCCTCAGCTCTCAAGTCAGCAGAAGTAGTGACTGGAGCAGCCTGATTCCCTCCCTCCCACCACCATCACCTTCGATGCAAAAAGTTCATCTACTTACCCCAGGGTTCCATGTGCACACTATAATTTTCTTCATGTGCCATGATGTGGAAGGTCGGGTAGCACTGATGTAGCTTTTTTGTAGATCATGTTTAACACTTCAAATATTGACTCCTGTATAATTTCAAAGGACAAAATTAGAACCATTGCCTAGAAAATATAGAGATGTACTTCAAAACAAGGGGAACTTTAAAAACTATTAGAATCATCCAATGATGGAATGGGTTGCCTTAAAAAATAGTCTGCTAGGAAGAGGACAACACACATATTGGGTAGGAAGACTCAATATTATAAAGATATCTATACACCATAAATTAATCTATACATTTAGCATAACGCATAACCAGGAATAAAACATCAAGTTTCTGTAACTACACAATTTTAAAATTTATATTCCAAGAATATCAGGAAAATTCTTTAAAAATTTTTTTTATTTCTTACTTTTTGGGTGGGAGGGTAATTAGGTTTGTTTGTTTGTTTATTCATTAATGGAGGTACTGGGGGGTGAAACCCAGGACCTCATGCATTCTAAGCACGCGCTCTATCGCTAAGCTATACCCTTCCCCCGACCCCCAATCTGGGAAAATTCTTAAAAATAATCCTGGAAAAAAAAAAAAAAAAAGAAAAGGAAGACCACCTCTTCTATGTATTAAACATAGAATAATAAAAACAGGACTGTAAGGGATGTGACTAGTGTTAAAAGGAAAACCATGGTGCCAAAATGGCATCAGTCATTCATGTTAAAAACCCATGATACCAAGCCTAGATTTAATATCGGATCTAACTGCAGTTTCAACCTCTCCCAGAAATGTAATCTTAACCGACCAGTCTGGAATTTTCAGGTCAAGCACCTGTAAGGCAATCTGTCATGTGGGCCCTCTCCGTTTCCACCCCTCACCAATCAAAAAGAGTCAGTCTCTATAATAAAACTCTGGCTGTTCCCTTCCTCCAACAAAAAAGATGTCCTGGCCTAAAATAATCCTTTCTTCTCTTTTGCTGATAGCTCCTTGCCCCACCCTTCTTCCTATAAAGACCTTCCATTTTGTATAGCCCCTTGCAGGCTTTTCCAGTGCCAGATGGGATTCCATCCAATTCATGAATCTTCCTAATAAAATCAATTCGATTGTTGAGTTCTGTTTTTTAACACTAGGCAGATAGATAAATGAAACAAAATTAAAAGCCTAGAAACATATACGTAAAGTTGTATATAATTTATATATATAAACTTAGTTTATCACAAAAAATGGTATTCTAGGGGAAGGGTACAGCTCAGTGGTAGAATATGTGCTTAGCATGCACAAGGTCGTAGGTTCAATCCTCAATACCTCTGTTTAAAATATATATATATACACATACACACACACACACACACACACACACACATATATATTTATCTGGCAGGGGAGATACCATGATCACAAAGGTGGTTTTCCCAGGCGAGGCTTATCCATTGCACTCCAGATGTGCTGACCCTTGCGATTTCCCCAAATGTGGGAAATTTGACTGCATAAATTGTGGTAGTGAGGGACTGTGTTCTCACTTTCCTCTGATCTTGTTAATAAGTAAATAAATAAATAAACCTAATTCCCTACCCCCTCCACCCCCCAAAAAATTAAATTAAAAAGAGAAAATACTAATTAATTCCAGAGGTTTTTTTTCTAGCTTTACTGAAATATAATTGGAAATTGAAATTGTATATATTTAAGGTGTACAACATGATGTTTTGATGTACCTTGTGAAATGATTACCAAAATCAAGCTAATAACATATCCTTCACCTCATCCGGTTACCTTTTTTTTGTTTTGGTGGTAGTGAGAACCCTCGAGATATACTATGTTAGTAGATTTCAAGTATGTAACTCTAGTCATCATGCTATACATTAGGTCTCCACAACTTATGCATCTTATAACTGAAAATGTGTACCCTTTGACCAACATTTCTCCATTTCCCCTGCCCTCAGCCTCTTGTAATCACCATTCTCCTCTGTTACTATGTGTTCTACTTTTTTAGATTCCACATATAAGTGAGATCATGCAAAAATTGTCTTTCTTTATCTGACTTATTTCACTTAAATTCACTAAATTCAGCCATTTTTTAAAAAATTCCTGCATGGAAAAAAACAGTTATAAGAGAACTAACAAACTGGAAATTTTAATTGTTCTAAATAAAAACATGTATGTATGGGGAGAGGGTATAGCTCAAGTGGTAGAGCACATGCTTAGCATGTGTGAAGTTCTGGGTTCAATACCCAGTACCTTCTCTAAGAATAAATAAATAAATCTAATTATCACCCCAGCCAAAAAAGGAAAGAAAAAACTATGTATGTATATAAAGTCTACATATTGACAAGAAAAGCAACAAGGAGAAAAAACTAATAGAAAAATAGCTGAAGGATGTGAACAGACTGAAAATAAACACAATGACTCTCATATATATGAAAAAAATGCTCAACTTCCTTCATAAGAGAAGTGCAAATGAAAACACCTAAAGGTAACTATTTCTGACCTACTAAATTGGAAGAAGTTGTTTAGTCATTAATATCCTGGTAAGAGTATGCGGAAAAAGTATTCTCATAATTGATGAATGGAATACAAGTTGATATAATGTCTACTGAGAGCAATTGACAATATCTAGCAAAGTAATAAATGCATCTGCTCTTTGACCCAGCAATTCTGCTTTTAGATATGTATCCTACAAATCTGCATGCACATGAAAAAAAAAGATGTAATATAGTCATTATTCATTGCAGACTTGTTTGTAATAATAAAAGGGCAGGAACACCAAAATCTTCATAAATAGATTGATTTAATAAATGACATGTCTGTATAAGGAAATGCTATGCACCAGTGAAAAGGAATAAAGCAGCTTGCTCTAAGTAATGGTATGGAATAATTTCTAAGATATGTTATTAAGGGGAAAATATTGCACTTAATCTGCGGACACTTGGGTTTAAAAAAAGAAATAATAACATATGCTTGTAAAATGCCCAGACTATCTCTGGAAGGCTACACATAAAAGTAGCAACAGTGGCTGCCACTGGGGAGCAGAACTGAGGTGCTAGAGGGAGAGGGATAGAAGAAAGGCTTTCTTTTCATTGTATATTCTTTTATACACTTTGATATTTATATTGTATATGTTATCTAATTTTAAAAACAGATTACAATTGAAAGTATGGAGTGAAAACCTGTATAAGTACAGAAAATCGTTAGCCACTCTCACCATCCTGTAACAGATGGTAGGGAGGTGGGGGATTTGAGGTGAGGCTTGACTTTACTGCGATACTCTGCCATATTGTTTCAATGTGTTACATTAAGCACATACAGCTTTTCTTGTCTTTGTTTCTTTCTTTTAAAATTCTTATTTTAATTGGAATGTAGTCGATTTATAATGTTAGTTTCAGGTGTACAGCAAAGCAATTTGGTTATACATACACATACATATATATTTTTTCAGATTCTTTTCCATTACAGCTCATTAAAAAAAATTGAATATAGTTCCCTGTGCTATACAGTAGGTCTTTGTTGTTTACCTATTTTATAGATAGTAATGTCTATCTGTAGCTTTTCTAATTAAAAAAGTTAATAGTAGTTTCCTCACCAGGAGTGCTGGTACAAAGCTGAAAAAATAATTTGCAGGAGGTGGGAAGGGATAAGTTGGGAGTTCGAGATTTGCAGATACTAATATATATAAAATGAATAAACAACAAGTTTATAATGTATAGCACAGGGATATATTCAATATCTTGTAGTAACTTATGGTTAAAAAGAATATGAAAACGAATATATGTATGTTCCTATATGACTGAAGTATTGCGCTGTACACCAGAAATTGATGCAACATTGTAAACTGACTATACTTTAATTTAAATAAATAAATAAATAAAACTATTTGCAGAGTACTTTGTAGGGGGAATTCCACTTTGATAGGGAATTTCAAACCAGATTGGTGGGTTTTTGGTGTTGTTTTTTTAATTTTGAAGTATAGTTGATTTACAATGTTGCGTTAGTTTCTGGTGAATAGTGATTCAGTTATTTTTCATTACAAGTTATTACAAGCTATTGAATATAGTTCCCTGTGCTATACAGTAGGACCTTGTTGTTTATTCTGTATACAGTAGCTTGTACCTGCTAATCCCAATTTATCCCTCCTACCCTCTTTTCCCTTTGGTGACCATAAGTTTCTTTTCTATGTCTGAGTCTTTTTCTGTTTTGTAGTAAGTTCATTTGTGTTCCAGATGGTCTTAAGGCAGTTTTCAACATAAAACACTCCTTAGTTCTATTATCTACAACTCTAGGTGAATTGGTCTTATTTCTTCAACTGGATTATAAGCCCCTTAAGGACACAAAGTCTGAATTTTGCTTTTTAAAAAAATGTCCCTCATCCTTTAGCACAAAGGTACATAAACTTGTCAAATAAAGTCTGTCACTTGAATGCAGGGACATCTATTTTTTCATAGCTGACATGGTGCGGATTTAGTGCTCAGAGCTGTTAAGGTTACACATTGTTGTGCTAACCTTTCCTATCACAAAGAGAAATGTAATACAGTTTTCCTGGTAAAGGAGGCTTAGTCAGCACATTTTTCTTTGGGTTTGGTAAAACAAGAATTTGTTCAAAGTCAGTGGACCAAAAAGGGTTGGCCAGCACAATGCTATGATCTCAATTTATACAACACCAACAACAGAGCTGCAGGTCTACAGCCTGGGACCTTTCCCTGGGCACCCACGTGGGTCTCTGATTATCATCAATACTTCTGGGGTAAATCTTCTACTTAACGTGTCCTGAATGAATGACTGCACTAATGTAATGAATACATGCCCAAAGGAATAGACGCATGAATTATTAGATAAATACATGCATTACTTACTGAATGAAACACCTTCCCATGGGGCAGACAGACATATGTATGGGTCATGGACACAGAGCCTGCTAATACTGATGGACCTAGAAAGTAGAAATAGACACAATGAGCCCAGGACCGAGGTCCTTCCTGTTAGGACCAAAAGTGGCCCCACCCCCTGGTCAGTGCCCAAGAGTGTGCCCAGCCGAGTAGAGTACAAAGCACAGATTCAGAAACAAACATATCAAGATGGGCCCCCAACAAGGAAACTTTTATCCCTCCAAGGCCAATATTAAGCTGCTACTTCAAGAAATACCTACTTGTAAACCCCTTGATTAAAAATATTTGGTTTCCTCCATATTTGGCTCCAGATATTCTATACTCAGTTTTTTTTCACACCAGTAAACATGTATATGTCAAAATGTGATCATATCTAGATTTGTTTTTTCTTTTTTGCCACTTAACCCTTCTCTTACACACACACACCAAAACAATGGAAAATGGCAACTACAGCTCAAAAGCTTACAAAGTCCAAAAAGTGGTCAAGCATATATAAAATGCTGTCTTGAAAAAACTATTAAACTGGCAAAGGTTCCTTTTTTAATGAGAATGCTCAGTGTTACTATGGTCAAAGCAGTTCTACTGGCAAACTCCTGCTGGTGGTAGTATAAATTGGGAAAGCCCTTGGGAGCGCATTGGGCAATCCACCTTGAAAGCTTTAACAATATTCCTACCCTATGTCCTAGTGATCTCACTTCTTACAACAAGGATGTGATGCAAAGAAATAATCCTTATTCTTAGAACATAATCCCAAAATGTCTTTTAAAGACTTAAAATAGCAGACCCCACCCCACCACCCCCATTTTTCAGGCTCTGATCTTCTTTCTCTGCTTCTCTCCATAATGCATATTACATATTCATGTGTTTGTCTGTGTTTACTCCCCACCCACCCACAAGAATATAAACAAACTGTGTCCCTAGTGCCCTTGAGTAATTCCTTACACATAGTAGGTACTCATAAGTATCTGTTTAACTAATGATTTTTAATAGTGAAAATTAAAACAAATGCAAAAAATAGAGTAATAATGATTAAGTAATATTGAGCCAGTACGTTTTGGCAATCTTCTGATTGGCTATTGTGTAGTCATAATAAATGTAATTATAATAACTAGAGCAACTTAGAAAATAGATATACTGTAAAGGGGGAAATCAAAATGCAAAACAGTATAGAGGTGTGGTAGATTATCACAGTAATGACCCCAAGGAACTGCACCTGCCTGTATCTGGACTTTCATTAAATCCCCTCTCACACTAACTCTGGGCTTCATCATGTGACTTGTTTTGGACAATGGAACATTAGCAAAGACGATTCCGGCAGAGCTTGAAAACTGTTTGCATGGTGGGTCTTGATGTCTCTCTCTTGCTGCTTTTGGAACCCAGCTGCCCAGGTAGCATGCTGGAAATACACCAACCAGCCCATAGCCAGCGCCAGACACTGTCTCTTTCATAGAATGAGGCCATATTATATAACATCCAACTCCGGTTGAGCCACCAGAAGACTGCAGTGGCATGAATGGCCCTCGTTGATAATAGCAGAAGAAATGCCCAGTTGAGCTCTGCTGAATTGATGACTCACAGAATTGCGAGCAAGTGAAAGGGTTGTAGTATTAAGCACTAAGTCTTTGTAGTTTGATATATCTGCTTTATTGAAA